CAGCACGATGGCGAGACCCAATCGTGCGCCTTTATGGTGTTACCTGGTCTCGTCAAGCTCAGGATCAATCGAAATGGAGAAGTTGCCAGCTGCATCGATGGCGTAACACCAGAGATCGATGAAACAACAGCTGTTCAAGGTATTCAAGGTATTCAAGGTATTCCAAAAACATTAAACTTTGTTTTGTTGCTTTTTTGAGGTTTTTTAAGCCGTCTTTTTAACTTTTTTTTCTAAAAGATTGCTTTTTTCTATTTTGTACAAAAACAGATGTGCAAAATGCATATGATCGAAATCATGTCTGCACCCGTTCATCCCCGGGCATTCATCCAGATTTTTCAATCCAACAACCAGACAAGCTAGAAAACCGATATTTTGCGAGAATGCTTTACGCGAAATTGCGATAGCGGAAATTTTATTCCTCATTTACGTCAACATCTGGCACGTGGGCTTGTGAATGTTCAGACGGAATCTTTCTAGCTGTAAATTAGAGAAGGTAGAAAGCTGAAATTCCTAAAAAATTTTCCCTCTTGCATATGCTATCCTAAAAATTAAGTGTAATTCTCATGCGCACTTAGGCCTCACGTACGAGCACGTCAAAAATTTCAAACTGATCATTGTTGGCGTCTTTTTAACTTAGAAACAGAACTAAGTAAAACGCTTATGCTTAGCTCTCTATTCATTAGTTCATTAAGCTTCCTTGCTCAAAGTTTTAAAATTTTTGCTCAAGTTTTTTTATGCTTTTTCCATTTCTTTTTTTTTTCAGTGCTTTTTCGTCTCTTTTTTCATATCTTTTTTTTCTTGGTGTTGTTGAGAATATATCTTCAACTTCTACGCAAGATGAACATGTGATAAAAACTGCAACCACTTAAAACTGTTTTTTTAGAGATGCGTCTTTTATCGTTGCGCGATCTGAACCTCTGCATTCTGGATGAGGTGCAAAATTTGCAGCAGAAGAACCGCATTGTGCGTTATACTGCCGAAACGGTGAATGCTATTCTGAATAAAAACGATAGCTTGCAACCGCACTATCTGACACTCTTCCTGAAAGCTTCAAAAGAGGTCCAAGAGCAATCCGATCCGTGGTTTGAAGTTTTCTCCCGTGTCGAACGACCCGATATGATTATTTTGCTTTGCGAACAATTCGATCGCGTTTTATGAAAATACCTGGATTGCGATAGGTGATATGATAGTTTTTGAATGTTTTTGCCATAACTGGAGCTAAATATCTTCTTTTCCAAAATTCTTATCCAACTATTAAGGGAAAATTGTCTTTTTTGATTAGCGTGGTTCGGTAGTTCAATTACAGTGTTTTAGTGTTTCAGATCTGGGAGCACAAAAATTATCTATATCGGAGTTCTTTCATTTTTAGAAAACAAGCTGAAAATGCTTAGTATTATACCTAAGCTGTAAGATTTTTAAACGAATCAAAAGATTTGCAGTGTTTCGAAGGGACTTTTAAATTCTTTATATCACTGGTAAACATACATCGAACAGGCAGTGGGTACTAACTGGAGATATGTAGGCTAGGATCGAAGGGCTGGCATAACTGCGGCTGATGTTTGTCAGCGACAAAGCAATATCACTAACGCGAGATCTGATAGTTCGGCGATCTTCTTATTCTTGGCTTTGAGAAAAATCAGGAAGTTAATACACAGCGGGGTTTTTCCTTTCATTGAATCTTTTCGAGTTAAAATTATTGTTTAGTTAAATTTTGCTTATTTTTTGTACTGTTCTCAACAGTTTTCTTTCATCAAACGTGGTAGCTGCAGTGCATTTCTTTAACATTCCTCTTCATTGTTTTAATTCTAATTTCTATTTTTTGCACTGATTTACAGGTACTATCTTCTAATAAAGCATTCCTCACATACTTAATTTTAGCCTTTTGATCAGCTATTGTTCAATTGAGCTGTGCAGTTAGTAGTATCTTCTCTTTTTGTTTTAAGTAGTACTGAAACACCTGTTGATCAGCTGTTGGCGATTCTGGGGTTCGTTTGTTTGGCTGAAAAGTTTGCCAACTTTATCATATACTTACCTCTGAATGTTACTTCGTCTACTGGTCAGCCTGTCGGTGATCCAGAAACTCGTGTCCACTCTTGAATTGGTCATCAGCTTTTTTACATACGTGTCTTTAGATGTTGTAGCAGTTTAACTC